GAATGCCACAGGACAGATCAGTACTGCCCGGCTGCACCATGCTTGTCTTATAACAAACATTTCTGGAGCCTCCAATATTTGCCAAGCTCTCAACCTTCCAGGGACCCAGAAACAATAAGACATGGCCGCCCTCCTGAAGGAGGTTACAGCCATACCAATTTCTTATCCACAGAGTCCTCTGTGTCACACTTAGCCTATTTGCACAGCTGCTATCTTGTGGCTGGAAGGAACGAACTGGTGAATTTTAAAAAGTTCTGAAAGGCTCCTTCGTGGATCATTCTCTGTATTATTAACTACTCAGACCCCACGGTAACGTGCCAGCCCCCAGTTGTTCCTCCTGCCCTTGCTCTTTCCTTTACAATCCAGCTGTTGATGCCGTGGGACATTTGGTGGCTCAGCTTGGAATACTTACTCTGGGCCCTAGTTTCCTCGTGTTTGGAGGTGTTATCCCAAGAAATAAATTTTAGTATAATAGAGTTTCTGTCTCTTGGGATCAGTCATAGAATTATGTCTTGTTGGCTCATATGATCCCAGGTTTATCCTCAGTCTGACTTCAGTGGTCGTCAGCTAAATTCACCCTCCCTGGATGCTTGGATATTTCAAAACTGGTCTATAAGCTGCATGTTGATGTCAGAATTCGGCAAATCCTTGGACTTCAGGATCATAAAAAAAAAAAGTAGCTACATCTGAGATCAGTGGTGTGGCCAGAGGGGCATTGTTCCTCTCTACTTGCTCCATCCACAAGCCACTCATCCATCTCTAAAGAATGGCACTGGGGCCAGAGATGGGACAGGCCTTTCTGTCATGGAGGCCTGCCAGCCTTGGTTTTTGCCCTTTGACCAAGAGTCCTAAGGACACTGAGATGGTGAGGTGATGAATTGAAAACAGAGAAACAAGCAGCTTTAGTTTCAGGCAGACAGAAATGGAAAGGAAGCTGTGGATATTCTTTAAGACGCTATAGGTTATGATTTATGCTCTGCTAACTAGAACTCTGCTATTTACTTGAAGTAGGACTTTGGGAAAGTCCCTCCTCTTGGCCTCAACTTCCTCATATGTAAAGTACATCTGGGATCAGTCAACACCCTTCAACAACCAGGCTTGACGTGCTAGAGTCTAGGTGTTCCAAGAATCTCTCTAACTCCCAGGGATCAAAGAGTTTGACAACAGATGGGAAGAGGTGGGGAGGAAGGGACTAAGAAACATCCAGTGGGAGTCTTTGTGAATTTAGTTACCTGACAGCATGGGGCAAAGAGGGGAAAGAGAAAATAAAGTGAAGAGTGAAGTGAATGAAGTAAAGCTTGTAGGACAGAGAGAGAGAAGGACAGAGAGAGATAAGGACAGGGAAAGTGTAAATCATAGAGGTGGCTGACCTGGCTTAGTGCTCTTTGGGTCCACCATGGCCAAGATTACTTTGTTAGGTAGGGGATGGGTAGTGGGTGTGTGGCAAACTGTATTTTCCAAAGAGAGTCATGATCATATTATCTTTTACGTGTTATTTTTTTTAATGTGATCTTTCTATTTCCCTATCAAGAGGAATGCAGTCCAACCTTATGACTCTTACGACTTAAAGAACTCAGGAAATGTGACAGAAATTATTCCAGGTGAATTTGAGGCTTGGTCAGAAGCAGCATCCCCTTGGTTATCTTGGGACTACCTGAGACCATTGTGCTGGAGAGGCTGAGTCTCCCTTCTAGGCCTTTCCCTTGAGGGTCCAGAAATGAATGATGCAGACCAGCCCATGATCCAACTACTGAGCAACCTCACTTTATACTCCATGGAGAAGAAGAATCATCCCGCTGAACCCTGCCCAAATTCCTGATGTAGAAGAATCCTTGAGATATAAGAAAACAATTGTTGCTGTAAGTCACAAAGTTTTGGAGTAAAATTTACAGCACCATTAGTAACCATTTTAGGATTCATTATCGCCATAGAACTAAACTCAATAACTCTCTACCTTAAAATTAAAATGTACTCAAAGGCATCCAAATTTTCAAACTTTCTAGGTTATTTCCTTACTGTTATCCACCGATCAAACCCCTACCTCAACCTCATCATAAGTCAAAAACTTTCATCGACCCTACTAGACCTAGTTTGATTAGAAAAAGCTATCCCCAAACTTACTGCTAACCTCCATTCTACAGCCTCTATTAAAACCTCAAACCAAAAAGGCCTCATCAAACTGTATTTTCTATCATTCCTAACCTCCACACTTCTAGCAATCATAACCGTACTCTATTTCAATTACAATGAAAATACTAACAAACAATGATCAACCAGCTACAACCATTAATCAACTTCCATAACTATATATAGCTGCCACTCCCATTGAATCCTCACGAATTAACCCTAACTCATCCCCTTCAAACATCATTCAGTTCTCTGAGTCCTCAAACTCGATTACAACCTCTACCTCATCATACAATACTATAAAATATAACAATTAAGAACTCCACTAAAAATCCTAATAGTAAAACCCCTCAAATCACTACATTTGATCCTCACGTCTCTGGATTTTCTTCCGTTGCTATAGCCGTAGTATAACCAAATACCACTAATATACCTCCTAAGTAAATTAAAAATACTATTAAATCTAAAAAAGACCCTCCAAAATATAGTACAACCCCACACTCAATTCCTCCACTAACAATCCATCCTAACCCTCCATAAATGGTTTGTTATCAAATAAAATGTATCAGAACAGGATAGTAGAAGTTTAAAAAACAAACAAAAAAACTATTGTTTCAAATAGTGATAAAAATTGTTTAGAATATATGTGATATTTTGAAACTAGTTTGGAAGCCAACTTTTAATTTTGTCCATAAGGGGCATTATAACAAAATTGCCATACTCTATAGGTACGCACACATGCGCACACACATTGGTATTGGTGCTGGGAATTGAACTTAGGGTCTTGAGCGTCGTATATTTTGAAAAACACATTTCATCATAAGAAGAAGATAAAAGCCATTATCTTCAACCTTGTAGCTCAGTGGTAGAGCTCAGTCCTAGGTTTGGTCCTCAGCACCAAAAAGAAGGAGGAAGAGGAGGACGAGGAGGAAGAGGAGGAAGAGGAGGAGGAGGAGGAGGAGAAAAGAAAGAAAAATGCAAGCCATTATCTTCCCCCATAAAGACCAAAATGCAAGAGATAAACAACATCGAATGTCAGAAAGGATGTGGAACAACCAGAAAGGACACTTATTCATTCCTTGTAGGAGTGTAAATGGCATATGGAAAAATAGTTTTGCAGTATCTACTGAAGCTGAAAGTACATGTATCATTAATTCCTTTCCTAAGTATATACCCAATAGGTATTAATGAACATTTTTCCATTTTATAAAAATGTTCATAAGTACAATTTATTTTAGTTGTTGATGAACCTTTCTTTTATTCATTTATTTATATATGATGCTGAGGATTGAACCCAGTGCCTCATACATGTGAGGCAAGCAGCTGTACCCCTGAGCCACAACCCCAGCCTGCAGTAATATTCTTAATAGCTCCAAACTGGAAACCAAACAAAAATATCCATCAACGATAGAATGAATAGAAGAATTGTAGTACTCTCACACAATCGATAGAACTTTCCAGAAAAATCATGGACACATCTCATAAACATGATGTTGAGGGATACCAGAGTCAAAAGCATACTTTACTTTGTAATTTCATTTATATAAAGTTGAAAAGAAAGTGAAATTGGGGCTGGGGTTGTGACTCAGGGATAGCGCCCTTGCCTAGCACATGTGAGGCCCTGGGTTCGATTCTCAGCACCACATAAAAATAGGTAAACAAAATAAAGGTATTGTGTCCAACTACAACTAAAAAATAAATATTAAAAAAAAGAAGAAAGCAAAATTAAACTATGGTGTTAGAAGTTAGGACACTGGTTGTCCTTAGGGGTAGAGATTGAAGGAGAACGTGACAGGGAGTTTGGATGTTCTAATTTTTTTTTTTTTTTTAACCAGAGGCTCATTTTGTGTTCATTTTTTGAAATAACACTGAGTGGTGTACTCAGGACTCATGCACTTTCCTGCATGTATGTTATGCTGCAAAATAAAACATTAAAGAACAAATTTAGCTTTATGAAGTTTTATGAAGAGTTTGTCCATTTTTTTCTGACTTCTGCTAGAATCAGTGCACACTGCATTATGTCAGTGGGGGGAAAAAAGCAGAGTAGCACCGTCCTTATGTGTATGCCTGTCCGAAAAGATGCTTCCTAGCCTTTTAGAGACCATGGCACATGTAGAAAATGACAACATTGGAATGGCACATTGGGGCACCGGATGAGGCTCCTGGCAATCAACACCTACTGACCTCATCCCTCAGCTGTCCCCAGGATGAAGGGTGCCAATACCTCGGCATACCTGTGGGATAGCTCCTACTTAGTGTGGGGGAAGACATGGCCTCCATCATGCATTTCAAATTCTCTAAATTGGCAAAGAGGAAGAGTCTGGGCTTCCTTTGCCCTTCTGCTCTGGAGAACCCAGCTGTGTAAACTCCTCACGCCCGGATTATAGTTCTTACATAGTATTGAAGATTGGGGGGTTCTGGAGAGTCATGCAGCATTCTGGGCCTCTCCTCTATGTCATGATCTTTTCTTCTATCCTTGTTTTCCACCAAAATTCATTCCCCTTCCCATTGCTCATACCCTGAGGACATTACACATTATTCCCAGGACCTGCTGCACTTGCCCCTCATCTACGAACATGCCCTAATCTCCCAAACCCTTTTCTTTGTCATGCCATTGTCTGTGCCAAGAGTGATCAGCCTGTCATCTCTCTGCTCAGACCTCCTCTTCCCCATGAAGCCTTCTTCTACACACTTCCCTGAGGGCCACCACCCCACCTTGGTTTGTATTACTCTCTGTGTGTGTGTGTGTTGGGGGGAGGCACTTGATAACTGTTTCTCAAATGACTTATAGGCTAACCTCATTCCCACCTCTGTTCTGGGTGGTTACTCATTGTCCCCTTGAGTCAGAATCTCTGTCTTCTTAGGGGTCCTACCTGTCTTATGGCTGATCCATGTGCTGCCACCACACTGCCAGGGGGTAGGACCTTGCTGCAAGCTGCATGAGACACATCCTCTTTACCAGCTCCCACCTCTGGCCATCTGATGAAGGCTAGGTTGTCCCTGAGGGATGGGCTGATGATCAGTGAATCAGCATTAGGCAAATTGTGGTGTGACAAAGGGAAAGGATGACTGTGACTCAGTCTGGGTCCTGGCTCCCCTCATTCAAGCACCAACCTGCAGGAACAGAACATGGCCACAAGGGGCTCTACTGAGCAAGTCATGCTCAGCAGAGAAGGGCCAGGTGGGAGAGCTTCAGGACCAGCTCTTGGCACATGGACAAGGAAACCCACTCCCTGGGTCTCTCCTCTCAGAGATCTCCAATGCTAAAGCTCCGCAGACCCTCACCCTGCTCAGTCTGCTTAATCTTTATGTTTTACCTCTTACCTGTCTGGAAGCTGTTGTTTTTTACCCTAGCACATTTCCCCTCACTTTCCCCTGCCCCTCTTTTCTTGCTGTCCCCAAGACCAACAGTCACCCTAGGAGGAAGACACTTGTACTTGTGTTAGTTCTGCCTCCTTTAGAAGAGCACATGCCTACACCAAGAGCAACCTGTTTTTTAGACATGGCAAGGACAGTTGTACTGTTTCATCTCTCTACACTCCTGACTCTGTCCCCTGGTCTCCTGGGTTCTGGGCTTCCTATCCCTGGACAGGATTCCTGAAGCCTCCTCTGTCTCCAGATAATCCTTTGTCCATCAACAGTCCACCCTGGAGCCACAGAGATCTCACTCCCATCAGGCAGCCTTTAGTGGTTCCCAAAATTCTGGACATTTACATGGCCCAGGGCCCCGAAGACCCACTGCCTGATTCTCCAGCCTTTTATCTTTCCTCTCTCCTTGCCCTCCATCCAGAAAGGCTGAAATATTTGTAATTGCCCCAACTATCGTGATGTTTCAAGCCTTTGTACTTTGCACACATTCTTTTCTGTGGACTGATGATCTCGCCCCACCCCTCCCCTGACACATCCTCCACCCTTATCCTTGCTCTTTATTTCTTACCTGGCAGAGCCCCATTCATTCGTCAACACTTCCAGTTCCTCTGTAAAGCCTTTCCTGACCCATAACTCCATCTCAATCCCCAGAATCCCTCGGATGAATGGATCTTTCATTATACCTGTCACTCATTGTGTCTGTCAATCATTAAAATAGCGACTCACATGCCTGCCTCCCCCCTCTTTTATTTCCAGGACTGAGGACTGAACTGAGGGCCTTGCGCATGCTAAACAAGTGTTCTGCCACTGAGCTAAATCTCCAACTCCTTGCCCTGTCTTTTTCACCGGTTCTTTACAGCTGTGTGAGACTCAGTATGTGGTAGGTGCTGCGTGAAAGGTGTTGCACTGGAGTGACTCCATCTCTGCACCTTGACCAAGTCCTTTCAATGCTCTGAACCCAGTGGCTGCTCTGCCAGATGGAGTGACATGAGAATCAGAAGACAGCACATATATTAAATAACTTTATAAATGACTAAGTGCTATGTGAATGTTTTTGTTGCATTTTTGTCTTCCAGACTAGTGTTTACCTACACTTGCCTGTGTGGAAATCCTCAGATTAAAGGAATGAGATGTGATCTTTTTTGTAATTTCTCCACCTTTCCAGTCAAAGGAAAAGCTGGTTAGAGTAAACCATTAATTCGTCTCCCTTGCAGGCCCCCAGTCTTCTCTGGAGCTCTGGGTTAATGATTCCAATGTTGTTTTCTTCACAGGGCCAATTAGTGTCTAATCTTTGGCATGTTCCCTGCTTTCTTAAGAATAACTTGACTCACTTCAATAATTCCTCAGCCTGGGGTCAGGAACCTTGTTTTGAAGGAGGAAATGGTGGATGTGAATAGTCTTGAATTGTCTTCCCTTCTTGACAGGGTCCTCCATTCCATGTCCACTATTCCCTATAAGGACCAAAAAGACCTCTCCCCACCAAAAAGTTGAAGTCTGCAACTACCCTCAGAAGTAGCTTTAGGAATTAGCTGTGGAAATTCTAGCAATTGTAGCCTAACTCACAACTTCCTTCCTGTGAGGTTTGAGGATTTGTTTTTGGAATTCCAGGAGAAAGAATTCTGGTCCTGACTTTCAAGAGTTA